TCAATGCCCAGAAGACAGTGGAGATGATTGTGGACTTCAGGAAAGCCACAGCCCCTCTGCCCCCCCTCACCTGTAATGATACCCCTATCACCACTGCAAATTCTTATCGGTTCCTCGGCACCACCATCACCCAGGACCTCAAGTGGGAGCCAACCATCAGCTCCCTCATCAAGAAGGCCCAGCAGAGACTGTACTTCCTGCGACAGCTGAAGAAGGCCAAGCTGCCGGCCAAGCTGATGGTGCAGTTCTACACAGCCATCATGGAGTCCATCCTCAGCTCCTCCATCACGGTGTGGTACGCCGGGGCCACTGCCAGGGACAGACTCAGACTGCAGCACGTTGTGCGCTCAGCTGAGAAGGTGATCGGCTGCAGCCTTCCATCCCTCCACGACCTGTACGTCTCCAGGACTGTGAGGCGAGCAGGTCGGATCACAGCTGACCCTGCTCACCCTGCACACGGACTGTTTGAACCACTCCCCTCAGGCAGGAGGCTTCGTTCCATTCGGACCAGAACCTCCCGCCATAAGAACAGTTTCTTCCCCTCTGCTGTTGGACTCCTGAACACTCATAATGCTACCTCATAATTTCTGCTTTGGTCACATTACATCTGTATTATAACTGAATACTCCATCTGTACTGTTCTCTAAGCTTTTTTTTTATTGTTTTCTATTGTATGGGTGTACATATGGTTATGTTATGGTTTTAATTTTACTTTATTTGTGGGTGTACACAGGCTTATGTCTTATGTAATGTTCTCATTTTTACTTAATTTTTACTTTATTTTTACTTTATTTTACTTTACTACTATTCGCACCTTATGTCGAAGCAAATTCCTAGTTTGTGAACCTCGTTCATTGACATGGCGAAAATAAACTGATTCTGATTCTGATTCTGATTCTGTTGTAGACTGACACCACCAAGGTGCTCCACAGAACAACACAGGAAGTCCTTCAAACTTTTCAACTCCTCCCCCTTTCTGCACAGAGGACAATAAAATTAATCCTGTACTACAATAAGCACTTTAATGTTTCTGTCTGACCTGTTTGAGAACTTAATTGTTGGTATTTTTATATTCTCTATTATTTTTATATATTTTGTTATTTTTTATTTTCTTTTTTTTAATGCTCTTTTTTTAATAATATATGTATCTTGTGTGATTTCGTGTGCATGTTCCTTTGTACTGAAACTCTGGCACAACAATTTCCTGTGGGATCAATAACGTTCCATTTTATTTCTTATCTTATCTCATATATGTTTAGTAACTTTTGCCTTTGGACTGGGACTAAACTACTGTACAGCAACTGACTCAACCAATATATCGACGGTACATGTTGTCTGTCTTTTTATGCCTTTTTTCTGTTTGTCTTTACTTCTCATGGTTTAGAATGAAATGCACTGCAAATATTTCTACCTAATTTTGAAAATAAAATAAAAACAATTGTTGTAATATTGACTAGTCAACATAAAAATGTTTATAACAAAGTTGCTTAGCTGTAGTTTTTTGTTGTATTGAACGCTTTTTGAATTGCTTAGCTGTAGCACGTCTTCAACTGGTTCGACTCCAAATGTTAATGACTTGTAGTTGTTTATTCAGTGATTACTCTTTGGGAGTTTAACCCAGCTGTTTTAGATATTTTGCTAACAGACCAGTTTACTGAAACAATTTTTGGAAAAGATATAAGCAAAAACATTGTGCGATGTTTGGCACTTAAAGTATGTGTTAGCAATGACTTTCAGCTACTTCCACAACAAATAGCTTAATCTCTGTGAAATTAACTGATTTCAAGCTTATTTTTCAGTTCCCCAAAGTCAGTTAGTTGGGGTGGCTATTTTAAATTGGGTTTAGTTTTGCAAACCTAATTAATTGTAGATGTTCATTAAACGATTACTTTCTGAAAGTTTCTTTAGAATTTCTCAACTGATACATGCCAAGTTTGACCAGCACTGCAAACAGACCATGACTCACCTTTGTTTGGATCAAGCAAGAAAAGATGTTGTGTTGAGCCTGGTGCTGCAGAAGACCCGCTTCTGTCAGTTTTCTGCTTCTTAATGTCTCATCTGCGTGTCGAGCACATTGTTTTGTCGTTACACTTGTTTAACTTCCTTTTTATGAAGAAATGCAGTGTTCTTGTTTAGCTAGAAAGAGAAGTTTGATTTTCAGTCTGGCTGCAGGTGTTTCTTGTAGGTTTTAAAAATGACTTGATGTGTCTGCCACAGACACAAAGATCTTATTTAGAGTCATGTTACCACAGTCTCGTGCAGGCTCAAGTTGTACAAAACCAGTGATTTTTTTGCTGTTATTTTTTTCCCATATTTTCAAACATTTTTAACATTTTAGACTTACTGTGCTTACCTGAGCAGGTTCGTTGTAACGTGTCAGATTTTCTGCTTTTGGGTATAAAAATTAACTACCATAATTTCCTATGAATAAGCCGCTACTTTTTCACATGCTTTGAACATCAAGGCTTATACAGTACTGCAGCTAATTAATGTATTTTTAAATAATATTTACAGTAAAAAACAATTAACCCATGAGCCAACAAGGTTCCTGCCGCCAAACACATTTACCATACCTTCGTTGCTCCTTCATTACATGATATGTGGAAGTTTTTTTAAATATTTTTTTTTATTAATTTTGCATTGTATTTTGACAGGTTAGCAAGCTTCCTGCCATTGAGGAACATTTTATTTTGACACGCCTGGACACTGATATAGCTGCCCAAGACATACCCTTCTAAGAGGGTGGTCGTTGTGAGACAGAGCGAACACCACAAGTTCATGACAAGTACTATTCTCTATATTGGTTACTGCATAAAACTGTATGTAACACATAAAAAAAACATAAACTAGTACCGGTAGGCAAAAAAACAACAAAAAACAGACTAATTGTTCTGTCTCTGCTTGTAGGTGTAGGCAAGCTTGACAGATAGACAACAGTTTTCCTCAAGAAAAGCAGTACTCTGGGATTCGCTTCAAAGATTTACTTCTCTCTCTCAACTTTATTTTTGGTAAATTAAAAACATTACCAAAAAGGGAAAACAATATAAAGTGGTAAATCGATTATTTACCAAAAAAAGGAATAGGCTGAAGCCAAGGCTTATACTTGCCTACCCTGTTCATAGACTCAGCAGTCTACATCATGACAGATATCTACTGTCCACATATACACATACAGACATTTACCGTATATTTAAATATGCATTATATAATATGTACATATACTCACATTACATACATTTACCATATATTTAAATATTTAAATATGCATGTATATAATACATACACATACTCACATTACATACATGGTTACACAATACATGTATACATCTACATAACATCTCCATAAGCTTTTATAATTTTACATTTTAAGGCTCTTTTAAAGCTCATCAAAAAAACATATAATTTGAAATCATCATTCAATTCATTCCAAAGTTTCACACCGATAACTGAAATACATCTAGATTTTACTTTACTTTTCTCTTTAGCTTCTTCAAATATTAACAAACCTTGTAAATTATTTTTTTATTCTCTTAACTTAATTTTTGAATTCCACAAGGAAGACTTTTATTCAGTGCTTTATACATTATTTCCAGTATTTTATATAAACAATGTCATTAAAATTTAAAGTATTATTTTGAATAAAGAGTTTATTAGTTGGTTCACAATATCCCACTTTATTAATAAATCTAATTGCTTTTTTGTGTAACTTTATTAATGTCAATAGTAGTTTTATTTGTGTTTCCCCATATTTTTGAGCAATATGACAAGTAGGGCATAATCAAGGAAGAGTTATAATATGCAAGACTTTAACATTTATTAAATCTTTTATTTTAAACAATATTCCAATAATTTTTGCAATTTTATTTTTAATATATTTAATATGAGGCTTCCAACTAAGTTTGTTGTCCAGAATGATACCTAAAAAATTTTTCTCATAAACTCTGTCGATTTCAACTCCATTTATTTGTAACTTTACATTATTACAAATCTGATTACCTGAAAATACCATAAATTTAGTTTTTTTTTTATTTAAAGAGCTTATTATAATCAAACCACTTTTTAACTCAGCTAGC